TGGGACCAACGATTTGAAATCAAGTGAGGTGAAAACCCTAACTGAAAACATATCCAAGCTCTGTGATGAGATCTATAACTTCAATCCCAAGATCGACATCACACTTTCGCAAATAATAACTAGAACTGATAGCCCTGGCATTAACGAAAAGGTCGCCCAACTGAATAACCTACTAAAGGGTCTCTGTGAAGCAAGAAACTTGGGTATGATAAGCCATGAAAATATCGATGAAAGAGGCCTAGACAGATTTGGCCTGCACCTTAATAGGTCAGGTAGTGGTATCATGGCAAGAAACTTAATTAACTGTATTCAGCATCTTTAGCAATTCTAAATTATATATCTTAGATTACCTGAATTCCAACCAACCCATGGTAAATATTAATTTAACCGACAACCCTTTTAGTCTAATTCCAACAAAGGGTCTGCCTTTCTTCCATTTAAATATTCAGGCTATCACAAATAAATTGGACCAAGTTAAGCTTATGATTTCTGAATCCATAATGCATAGGAAGAAAAGCAACATTATATTTTGTTTCTCTGAAACTCATTTAAATTCTAACTGGTCTGATGACGAATTGCAAATTAGAGAGTTCAACTTCATTAGGAAGGACCGAACTTATGCCTCAGGTGGAGGTATTCTGATTTATATCCCAGAAACAATTAATTTTCAATATCGCAATGATTTCTCGTTACAAGAAAATAATTATCCGCTTGAATTTATTTGGTTGGAATTTAAGTATCCTAATTCAAAACCCTTCCTGATGGCCATTATGTATCAACCAGGAAATAATACTCTCTGGAGAGATAATTTAAACTATGTATTAGACATGGCTGACAATGAACACTTATCATTTATAGACCTGGAGCGAGGGGGATTCGGCGAAATATTACCCAAAGTGATGATATTTCCCGAGGGGCTTTGCCCCGAGGGAAATATCATCACTGAGGGTAATATTTCGCCGAATCCCCCGAGCGGAAGGTCTATAAATGATATATTATACCGAAAATTAAAAGCCTCCAAGTTGAGAATTAAAAACTTGACACATACCTTCGTGAATACGACGTCTTATTTTCGGATTAACGCAAGTGTTGTCGCTTTTCTTTCGAATCACATATCGTTTGGAATATTAATGACAAAACCCCAGGTTTTAGGTTTGAAAAAGCCCCATGTTTTAGGTTTAAAATTGAATTATTCATCACTCATTAATACTATTTACGTTTTGTCGGCCATCTTATTGTCATGCGTGTTGTCCCGCGTGGTGTTCGCAAATAATGTTCCACCCCATGTTCCCCGGGTAACATGGGTGGAACATTGTCAAAAGGAACGCAGGCTCGCTAATTGATGACGTAAGGCATGATATCGCGATTAATTTCATGCTCACGTGGCACAAACTAAGCTTCCTGATTGGACAATTTGAATTTGAGGTATAATATAAAGAGATAATTATGTTAGGGGACTTAAACACAAATTTTCAAGATAAACATTCTTATCAACAACTTCATATTCTAACATCTCAGTATCAGCTTAAACAACTTATTGATGCAGTTACCAGGCCAATATCAGGTAAAACAATTGACCTTATCTTTACCTCTAAGGAAGATGTTATTAAATCAGGCGTGCTAGATATTGGGATGAGTGACCATTTGCCAATTTTTATCTCTAGAAAAATTAACTCCAGGATCTCAATTAAACAAGGTTTACATACAACGATTAGTTATCGCAGGAAGAAAGATTTTATTGCGAGTGATTTTGACAATGACATTGTTGAAGAAATCCCGTTAAGCCTTTATGAAATCTTTGATGATCCAAACGATCTATTAGACTGTTGGTACTCTCACTTTATGAAAATTTTGGATAGGCATGCACCTTTAATAAAACGTAGAGTCAGAAATAATAAACTGCCGGGGTGGTTTAATTCTGAAGTACGTTGCTTTAGCCGCAAAAGAGACTTTTTCTTAAAGCAATTTCTAAGAACCAAAAACTCTGACACATGGTGTACCTACAAAAAATGGAGAAATAGAACTGTTCATATTATTAAAAAGTCAAAAGAGGACTACTATAAGAACCTCCTGACTGGTAATGTACATAATCCACGACAATTATGGAAAATTCTATATCTTGCCGACCAATGACACTGTCTCCCAAATAACACTTAACATTAATGGTAAGGAGATCAGTGATCCTATCGAGGTTGGCGATCTCTTTAATGAATACTTCTCTATTGCAGACAACTTTGATATCAGTTTATTAAACAACCCAATTAATACTCATTTACCAATTGCAACAAATCATATTAAGTTTACAATTCCACTGATAACAATTGATGACATACTAAATCTTGCAGCCGAATTAGACCAGAACAAGTCAACCGGTCTTGATGGTATTCCTGCCTACTTCATCAAGTCCTCGATTCATTTCCATTGCACCCATAATACTTCGCATTTGTAATATGAGCATTGAAAATGGCGTCTTTCCCAACATGTGGAAGAAAGCTAGACTGATTCCAATCTATAAAGCTGAAACACGTACTGAGAGAAACAATTACAGGCCCATTTCTATATTACCGATTCTATCTAAACTCCTTGAACGACATGTTGCCAACTCGTATGTAAAATTCCTCACAGCATGGTTTTCGAGCCCATCACTCTTGTGAATCTACTCTAATATTGATCTGTGAACACCTTCTCGATAACATTGAGCAAGGTTTAATTAATGGTATAGCTCTAATTGACCTCTCCAAAGCGTTTGACCTGGTCGATCATAGATTGCTACTGCAGAAATTAGAACAATATGGCATTACTCCAATAGCTTTAAAATGGTTTAAATCGTATCTAAATGATCGTTACCAAGTAGTACAAATTGCATCATCCCTATCCAACCCAGCTCTGATAAAGTCTGGTGTGCCTCAAGGATCTATACTAGGACCAATTCTCTTTCTTATCTTTATTAACGATTTACCCAGTTACGTTGGAAGTTCTAAGCCTTTTTTATTTGCCGATGACTCTACACTAATATCCTCCGGATCGGACCTTCACGAACTTAGTGTCTCTCTAAAGTCAGATATGACCTCAGTGTCCCATTGGACTAACCATAACAAAATGTCTCTTAATCCTGGCAAGACAAAAATAATGAAAATATATTCCCAATCCAAATTCCCTGATCTTAGTCCAATAACCATTGAAGTCAATAACAATAATGTTAAGGAGATTACATCCGCCATTTTACTTAGAGTTACATTAGACCAACATCTGAAATGGGATAGGCAAATTAATACGATCTACAATATAATCAATTCTAGACTTTACCTGCTCAAATGTATATGTAGCTATCTCACTTTTAATCCCGTATTCAATTATATTACGCACTAATCTACCCACACTTGCTCTATTGTAGCACAGTCTGGGGCAATGCTAATAACGATCTAATTACGTGCCTACTAAAACTACAGAAACGTGCAGCGAGACTAATTCTTGAGCAGTCAACTGAAGTGCCTTCAATTGTGCTTTTCCGTAAACTCAACTGGATACCTATTTTTAATTTGATCAAAATGAGAAAAATATTATTGGTATTCAATACTTTAAAAACATCTTGGCCGCCGGATCTTCGTAAATTGTTTGTCTTTGTTCGCGACTCTCATCCAATTCCAACTAGATCGTCTATTACAGACTTAAAAGTTCCATCAGTTAAGACTACGCAAGCAAAATCCAAAATTTCCTTCAGTGGTGCAAGTTTATTTAATTCTTTACCTTCCGAATTAAAAGATATTGAAAATCACTCAATTTATTCCTATAAAAAGAAGCTCAAAACCTACTTTATTCAATTGAATTATGATTGTAAGCATATTACTCATTGTCAATGTTACTCTCAATAGGATTTTCTTTTTATATATTACTATTAGATATCGAGGGCCATTTGGGAAGAATACTATATTAAGTAATCAATGTAATCCCTCATTAAATAAAGCTTTATTATTATTATTATTATAACTACGAACCCATTTGATACTATGAGCCTCACGAACCTGACCATTCGAACAATTCCGAAAGCATTCACGAATCGTACGGTTCATACGATTCGTATGAATCTACGAAGACATTCACCTACATTGATACTATGAACCTGACGAAACTAACAATTCGAACGATTCTGAAAGCATTCACGAATTGAATGATTCGTACGAATCTACGAAGACATTCAGCTACATTGATACTATGAAACTCACGAACCTGACCATTCGAACGAATTTGGGAGCAGTCACGAATCAAACGGTTCGAACGATTCGTACGAATCTACGGAGACATTCACTTAGAGCGAACTACAAACCCATTTGATACTATGAGCCTCACAAACCTGACTATTCGCACGATTCCGAAAGCATTTACGAATCGAACAGTTCGTACGAATCTACGAAGACATTCCCCTACATTGATACTCTGAACCTGACGAAACTAACAATTCGAACGATTCTGAAAGCATTCACGAGTCGAACGACTCGTACGGAGACATTCACTTAGAGCGAACTACGAACCCATTTAATACTATGAGCCTCACGAACCTGACCATTCGAACGATTCTGAATGCATTCATGAATCGAACGGTTCGTACGATTCGTACAAATTTATGAAGACATTCACTCTGAGCGAACTACGAACCCATTTGATACTATGAACTTCACGAATCTGACCATTCCAACAAATCTGGGACCAATTACGAATCGATTCTAAAGATTTGTACGAATCTACCAAGACATTCACCTAGATTGATACTATATGACTTATAGTCTTAGACATATCCACAACAACTCACAGGACAAGTCATATCCTATCATATAACTATAAGACTCACAAATCTAACGATCGCCCTTACGATTCACGATTCGAACAAGGTCGAGGGTATTGGACATAAATCAGATTTTCCGAAGTTGACAAGTCTCTCCTTCTCGCTCTGCCTCTCCATGCTATGTCATGTAATGTACACTATAGTGGATCGACATGACAATGAAAGAGAGACTTGGAGCAAGTCTGATGATACACTATTGTCTAGGAAAAGTTCCAAAACAAACTTTTATGAAACAAGTTTCATTTGTATCATAAAAATCTTTTTTGTTTTATTTTGAACGACTGGGAAGATTTTTCACTTTTGAGCATGAATCTCCTTGGAGTCCACATTCTTGCAGTTTTTCCACCTAAAAAAATGTTTCAGAAACTTTGTTTAGCAAACTTTCCCTGTAGTGTATCAAGGGCTTAAGTTATATTCAAAGTTCAAAAAATTGCGGCCTGTTTGTAGATTACTTTATTAACGTCGGTTATCGTCAATACCGGGATGCTGTTTTCTTACTCTGAACGTGATTTTTTGGCCCCATGTAATGTTAAGTCAGTTGTCAAACCGACTGGGCAACACAGGCTAAAGTACACGAACCATTACCTGGCCTGCATTAACCTGCACTGACCTGCATTGACCTGCAACCTGCAGTTTAGACCAACCTGCATCGACCTGCAACCTGCATTAACCTGCAACCTGCAGTTTAGACCCTCCACAGAAAAAACACTGTAGAATCGCCAATTTTGAAGATTTTGTTGTAGGGGGCAATTTACTTCCGCTATAGGGGACCCAAGAAAGTTACCGGGTCAAAAACCACCCTGTTCGTGCCCTAAAACTGCTCCTTAAAACATATACTGTAGGTTGGTAGATAATTCATTAATCTAAAGATATGGAATAGTAGGAATTATTGGACATTTCCATCGGAATCCAAGGCAGTTCTGATGTATAAGGTTACGCAAAAGTTGCAATTTTACACATTTTTTAGTTTCATAGTTTTAACTGGCAAGAGAAAGAAGAATTCAAATGGCAAACCAGCAACCGCAGCAGCTAAATCATCCTATAACTATGAGGAAACGTTGTCTCAGTCCAGCGGAGACTAAATCTCTCTCCTCCAAGGCAAATGGGTTCTTACAACCCTTCCTACAAAATGATATGCCTACATTCAACGAACGAAAAGGAAATGTTATGAGAAGCATATGGTTGTTTTCCATTTACATGGAAAACCCATCCGATTTGAAATTGTGCTAATGGTAAGCAAAATTTCTGATAGAAAATCCCATTTGGATAATTCGCTTTCCATTTAGAGTGACTGACTGGAAAGCACTGAAGGGTTGTTTACCATTTACATGTTTACCATCCCTGTTTGAATTAAATCGCAAAGAGCCTGGAACTGGTGAAAAAAATGTAAATAGAACAAATTCACAGGTTGAAACGTTCCAATCGGTAAGAGAGGACAACCTTTTCAAACAAACTGTTCATTCCAGTAAAGTTCCGGTTGGGCCGTCGAAATATGCTTGTTCATTTACATTCCATATGGAATCACCGGAATAATTTCCATGTAAATGGTAACAACCTTATGTTATTTGATAAGGAAAACCGATACATGGGGCACTTTCCATTTGCAAAAAAAAAGTTTGCGTTTCCATAATGTCCAGTGGCAAAATGGTCCGCTGCATGTGACTGGCCTTGTAAATAATGGGAGGCTTTATTCAGAGGAAAAAATGAGGCAGGCTTGTGAGGCGGGTTAAGTTGATTAAAATGGCGAATTATTTTAGAAGTTTCGTAGCTTTGGAGAACATTCAATTTGACGATATCATCCAAGATGGCGGATGGTTATGAAAGTGTGAGCTCCCTATCTTGTTCGATTTCTCAACAAAAAACCAACGTAGTTTGCCCAGAGATTTCAAAATCCACTTTCTTATATAAAAGTGAAGGCAATTTATTTTGGAAGGGAGATACATAACAGCTTTTCAACACTGGATGTTGAGGAGCCAGAAGAAGACGAAGCATATACTAGCTTTCCAGCATTGGATGACGATGAGAAAAATATGGATAGTAGCCATAAAACCAATGTCAGCCATCCAAAGCAAAAGTCTAAATCTGGAAAAGTATCAACATGGAAGAATACGGAACAAAATATCGGTGCCAAGCAAAGAAATGACCTGAACAAAACCATTGTGATTGGTGATTCCATGATCAAACACATCGACAGCAAGAAAATTGAAAGGGCTGCAGGAAGTAAATCGGTTTCCCACCCTTATAGCGGAGCAAGAGTTAACCAGATTAATGAGAAATTCAAGGAACACCGAAACAAAGAGCAGTATGATTGCATCATACTTCACGTTGGGACGAATGATCTGGTTCACCAAGAGGCTGAACAAGTGGCGGCAGATATGGAGAAGCTATTAGAAGAAGTAAAGACACACACAACGAAAGTTGCTGTATCAAGTGTTATTCAAAGGTATGATGGCCGAGTAAGTTCAAACAAAAGTCAGAGACTTGGTGTATTTCTTCAAATCATTGTTTAGTTACATTGACGTCAATATCGATAACTATGTGTCGTTTGTGGGCCATGGTCGTACTAGACTGAGCCATATGTCAAGATATATCCTTCAAAGTAAACTCTGTAAAACTAATACTTTCCAGTCTTCATACTACAATCGTGTTGTAAAGATTTGGAACACAGTGTGCCAAGAAATCTCACCTGACATTTTCCGTAATCCAAACTCTTTTAAACACTATCTTAAACGTAGATACTATACATTAATTAGTAATGTTTATGACGTAGACATGGCTTGTACGTGGTCATTAAATCATGACTGTCCTTGCCATAGGACTTAATACCACAAGTAATATATATGTGTGTGTGTGTGTAATTAATTAATTATATCAAAACTAATTACGGGGAGCACCTCGCATGGGACTTTTAGTGTCCCGTTTGTGCTTTTCCGTTTGAGTGTATCTACTAATTTGTGATTTGTGACGTGTGTTTTGTCTTTCGTTTGTCAAGTTTTTATCTTTGTACCTGATATAGTACGTATGTAGATTGCTCAATAAATTCATTAAATAAATAAATTATGCTCCAAGCATAATGTTCACTTTATTAATAATAACAATATTGATAAGTCCTTTTTAAATGGCTCAAATCTACATTTGAACCGGAAAGGTGACAGTGCTCTAGGCAGTGCATTCTGCACATATATTAAATCTAATAGAGTTAAACCCCTAGTAAGGTATCAGTGCCTTTAAGTGAAAACAACCAGGGTTTTCACCATGTTTATGGACACAGGAACAGAGAGTGGACTCTATACCTGAGTATGTCAGCCAGAGGTTGCTGAGCAAATAGATAGAAATCCTAATATTGTAAACACAAATTATGTGAGTAGCAATTTTTTAATTAGCCTAAACTCCATTCTTAAAGAAAGAGGTTTCAAAATGGCTTTTCTAAACATTGTTAGTCTGCCCAAAAAAATTGATGAAATAAGATTTTCAATGTCAAACAAGTACATTGATCTCATTGCTTTCAATGAAACACGACTTGACCAAAGTATACCTGATAACCTGATTCACCTTGATGGTTATGATATTATTAGGAAAGATAGGTCGAGAAATGGAGGTGGAGTATGTATTTATTTGCGTAGCTCAATTACAATATAAGACATGATCTGATTCCCTCTGAACTAGAGGGTGTTTGTGTAGAAGTTATTAAGCCACATAGCCGACCATTTCTTATTACAACAGTTTATAGACCACCAGATTCATCATCTGAATTCTTTGACCAGTTTGAAAAATTAATCAAAACTATTGATGACGAAGATAAAGAAATGTATATTCTTGGTGATCTAAACTGTGACATGCTAAAAACAGATAAGGAATCAAATCTTCCTACAAAGAAAATTAAGTCACTATATGAATTGTATCAGTTATCACAGTTGATCAATGAAGCTACTCGAGTAACTATGACTACCACCAGCCTTATTGACCATATAGTTACCAATAAACCAGAGAAAATTTCAAATTCTGGTGTTATACATACAGGTATAAGTGATCATAGTATGATATATGCAATTAGGAAACATTCCATTTTTAAAAAACAAGAAAACACTACTGAAATTAGAAATATGAAAAATTTTGATAATCAAAAATTTGTTGAGGATCTTCAGGATCAGCACTGGGAATATGTATACTTTTTTGCTGATGACCCAAACACTATGTGGGAAACTTGGAAGAAATTATTCTTAGAGGTCCTTGATAAGCATGCACCACTTCAACACAAAAAAATTAGATAAAAAAAAATCCCTTGGATTACAAGTGATATAAAGAAATTTATAGTTACAAGGGACAAATTAAAAAGGAAAGCCATTATCACAAACCTAGAAAAGGATTGGAAAAATTATAAAGCAACAAGAAATAAAGTGAACATAGAGCTTAGAAATACTAAAAAAGATTATTATTCCTCGAAAATTGCTGGTCAAAAATGTGATCCAAAAAATGCTTGGAAAACCATAAACAATCTATTAGGTAGACAAAGCAAACCAACAGTGGTGAATGAGCTAAAGCTGGGTGACAATAGTTTAACAAGTCCAAAAGATATTGCAGAGGGCTTTAATGATTATTTTTCAAGTATTGGCCCTGATTTAGCAAGCAATATTCATACTTCGAATGACAGCTTTGAAAAATATGTTAAAAATTCTAAATCAGAATTCACAGCTTTCCAGCCGGTTACTGTCAGTTATGTCTACCATCTCTTGCATGGACTTTCTGGCAATAAAGCAACTGGAATTGATAAAATTTCTTGTAAAATTATTAAAATAGCAGCTCCTGCCATTTCAGATTTGTTGACATATATTTTTAATCAGGCAGTTACTCTCTCCTCTTTCCCTGATAAATGTTTCTGTCAGTTATGTCTACCATCTCTTGCATGGACTTTCTGGCAATAAAGCAACTGGAATTGATAAAATTTCTTGTAAAATTATTAAAATAGCAGCTCCTGCCATTTCAGATTCGTTCACATATATTTTTAATCAGGCAGTTACTCTCTCCTCTTTCCCTGATAAATGGAAAGTGGCTAGAGTAATACCTCTCTACAAAAATGGCCAACAAAATGCAGCAGGAAACTACAGACCAATTTCAGTTTTGCCAGCTATAAGTAAAGTTATGGAACGAATTCTGTACGATCAACTATACAATTATTTAACAAAATTTGAACTTCTGAGTAATTCTCAGTTTGGTTTTCGAAAATTTCACTCTACAGCTACAGCATTACTCGACTGTACTAATGACTGGTTTATGAACTTAGACAGAAAAATGTTTAACTTTGTAGTCTTAATTGACCTGAAAAAAAGCATTTGATACTGTTGATCATCAAATTCTGTTAAGAAAGTTGGAACTTCATGGAATAAAAGGAAAAGCTTTGACCTTTCTTAAATCTTACCTCACAAATCGAAAACAGAAATGCCAAATAAAAGGATCCATTTCATCAGAAAAATCGATCAAATGTGGTGTACCACAAGGCTCTATTCTTGGGCCACTATTCTTTCTAATATATATTAATGATTTGCCTCAATGTCTAAATAATACAAAACCTCGGTTGTTTGCTGATGACACAAATCTAACCGCTACTGGAGATTCTATACCTCACCTTGAGACTGCAGTGAACTCTGATTTGGAAAACCTTAGAAAATGGTTAATTGCCAATAAACTTAGCCTAAATGTAGCTAAGATCGAATTTATGTTAATTGGTTCGAAGCCAATGATCAAAAGTGTTTCAAATTCACAACCTAATATTGAAATTGAAAACAAACCAATTAAACAAGTTTACGAATGTAAAACTCTTGGAGTGACAGTTGACCAGCATTTGTCTTGGAAAAGTAATACTGACAATATTTGTAAGAAAATAACAGCAGGAATATCGGCTATTCGGCGTTTAAAAGAGTTTACTGATAGACAAACTCTTATTTCTGTATATAATGCAATTGTTCGACCATACTTCGATTATTGTTGTGAAGTATGGGATGTGTTTGGGGAAACACAATCAAAGGGACTCCAAAAACTCCAAAATAGAGCTGCTCGAATTATCATGAATATGAGCAATGACACAGAACATTCTGTTGCTTTACAAGCATTGTCATTGAGCTGGGTGCCACTCAAAACGGAAAGACAAAAAGCTAAAGCAAAATTAATGTACAAAATATTAAATAAAATGGGTCCGGAGTCACTCACTAATCTTTTCACATATAAAGGTGAGATGACAAACTACAATCTTCGGGATATTTTGAGTAGTCTTTGCTTACCTAAACCGCGTACAAATAGCATGAAAAAGAGTTTCATGTATGACGGAGCCTACCTTTGGAATTCTATTCCGAAGGAAATTAGAGAAAGCAAATCCTTTGCCTCTTTTAGGAATAAAATCGCTACTCACATTAATAGTAATTGTAAATAGATGTTCCCGCAGACTAACTTACTAAGTACCGGTACTATACTTTACCTATTTAATACTATTTCTAATATTTTGTAAATAATTATTCTAAATTTTATACTTCTGTAATTTCTTCTATACACGCCCCCTGTGGAAATCAGCTTCGGTTGACAGGGTTAGCGTGGTTAAATAAAGTTTTCTATCTATTTCTATCTATCTATAATTCCGCGATTTTGGACAATGATGATGATGTAATAATCCTTGCAGCAGTTGCTTGTTTCACACGAAGAAAGTTAAATCGTGTGAACGGATTTTTCGAGTGTACAGTCCCTTCGTACTTGGCAGGTGAATTCCAAAGCCATTTTCGCATGACAAGGGAAACGTTTGAAATGTTTTTGCAGGAAATAATGCACAAAGGACAAATTCAGGTGCATTATCCCCGTGCAAGGCCTTTAATACCACCAGAAAAACAGCTACTACTTTTTTTGTGGATGATGACTAATAAAGAACCAATTCGTGCTATCGCTGATAGATTTAATGTTACCATAAGCAGTGCACATAGAACCCTTTGTCGGGTTACGAAAGTGGTTATTGCATTATGCTCTCGATACATTAGATGGCCTAATGGTGAGTGCTCTTTTACAAATATTTAAGTTTGGATTTTCCGAATTTGTATTACGTATCAGTCAGTTTCACCAGTGCCCACCCCCCTCCCCCTCAGAATCAGCCATTTACGGAAAGAAAATGGCTATGTCCCCACCAAAGAAGAACTGTGCTAAAGCCCACCCCCAGGCAAACAAATTGGGTCTATATCCCCACTCCCGGGCAATAATATTGACTGTTTAGTACACATTGATTTGCACATTATAATTCTATGGACAATATAAATTTGAAGTACAAAATAGAAGCAATGAAGAAATGCTTTTATATTAATGCAACAGTATAAATTCTCAACCCTAACTTCAGCACATCTAACTAGACCTACCATGATGGGAGACATTGAAGTCCCCACCCCCAGGCTAAAAAATTTGGCAATAGCTCCACCCCTGATATAATGAAAAGCTGTGAAGGCCGGGGGGGGGGGGCACTGCTGGAATTGACTGATACATTATTATATTTTACTTCAACAGCCAATCAAGCATGTGAAATAGCAGCAGCATTTGAGAATGAAGGAGATTCCCCAATGTTATTGGAATAATTGATGGTACCCACATCTGCATTTGTGCTCCTCAACATGAACCTCGGGTGTATATAAACAGAAAAAAATTTCACTCACTGAATGTGCAGGTGAGCCTTGCAATCATTATGGAAACTAAGAGAAATTTCTGATTTAAATATGTGCGATAGATGTTAATGGAATGGTTAAATCATATTGCTCTAGGTGGTTTGTGATAACAACATGTTCTTGCTTGATGTACTTGCTGGCTGGCCAGGTTCGGTTCATGACTCGAGAGTGCTTAGAAATTCTGGTCTTTACGAAAATGCTGCAAATAAATTCCCAGGAGACTCGTACCTGTTGGGAGATGGAGGCTATCCTTTGCTAAGGTTCTAAAAAGAATTACATAATATTTGTTTTTGGAAGTCTTAGCCTATTTTGATCCTCAATAAACCTTGTGGGTACTATTGTCTGGTAAAAGAGCCCTAAAATACTTATTATTGATGCTTTTATGTCACCCTTAAATGTGATAGTTCATTTGCTTTAACATGCCACTTTGTTTTTTAGATGGCTGATAACTCCACTTAAAAACAATGGTTATTTAACCCCCCGTGAAAAAAGATTCAACACAGCACTTTCAAGTTTACGACAAATAGTGGAGCGGGCTATCTCACTCTTAAAAGGTCGATGGCGTAAACTAAAGTATCTTGATCATCTTGATTTGGAACTTGCTGTGCAAATTATTATGGCTGCATGTGTACTCCACAATTTTTGTCTATTACATGATGATTTTGATAACTATTTCCTACCAGATGATGAGGATGACAATCAGCAAGATGATGATGATAACAACAACCATGAGATAAATGATGGTGCAGCAGTCCAAAAATGACAGCACCTAATGAACATTGTTGTCCCATGATGACTACGTACATTTGCTATCATTTCTGTACTCTGTGGGCACAAATATACTCAACAGAATGCTCTTATTATACTTCAGCTTTAAAAGGCAGTGGCGCCGTGGCCAGGGGGGGCATGGCCCCCCTATTGTTGAGGCCCGTCGGAAAATTGCCAATGTTGTCCGAAAATTGTCAAGGTTGTCGGAAATTGTCAAAGTTGTCGATGGGGGGGGGGGAGTGAAGATTTAAAATGTTGTCGTCCGGAAACTTTTTTGGTTTGTCGGAAAAGTGCTGCCCTTGGGCCCCCCCCAAAAAACATGGGTCCCACGGCACCACTGATTAAAGGATTTATAGTGTCACACTGTATCACTGGCATTTGTTCTTGTTTTTAGTTTGCCCCAAATCAATAAATACAGTAACATTCAAAATACATTGTTTTGTACATTTCAAATAAGATTTAGGTAAAAAATGGGTTGAGGGTTCTCAAAGGATGGTTTAAATATACGACAGATTGCAAAAAACGTTTTGATAATAGTAGTCCCACAAGATGGCCATCGGCAGCTAATTGAGCCTGCAATACCATGGTGTGGCACTAATCTTATAAAAGCTTGCACTG